ACTGCCCCGCCCCGCCCCGCCCCAATTGCCATCTCTATTTCTACATATGATTCAGGTGAAGGTGGAGTTGTCCAACTGGGTAACAATGTTACTTGTAACTTTATTGGCAAAGGTACAATTCAGATCAGAATGTACGATGGTGTGGTGAGAACTCTCACCGATGTTAAATATGTTCCTGAGTTGAAGAAAAATCTCATCTCTTTGGGCACTTTAGAATCCCTTGGGTGCAAATTCACTGGTGAAGGTGGAGTTCTGAAATTTTTCAAGGTGCTCTTGTGATCATGAAAGCACACAGATCTGGTTTGTTGTATACTTTATTGGGATCCATGTTATAGGCCCTACTACAGTTTCGGTATCAGAAAACTTGTCTGATTTTGATGGCATTAAATTTGGACATATGCCCATTGGGGCTTTTGCGGAGAGGAGTAAATTTACTATATTAGCCAAAATAAGGCAAAGGTGGAGATTTGTAATATGGCCAATATTTTGGCTAGTGGAGTCTATTTGCAAAGTAGACCTTGTTGGCAATATTCTTTGGGACCCAAAAATATTGCATTGTGTGGTGGATATCATTTGCACAAGTTGTATCTTTTCTTTTACACCTTGGAGGCCAAAGCTTTTTTGCGTATAAAAGGAAAGGTCATTTGTTCATTTTAGACACACCAAAAAGACTTGAGCCTTCATTTCTTGTTTCTTCTCCTCCTTTCTCCTTTAGTAATTGAGAGTATTTTGTAAGAGAGCTGAGTGTTGCGAAACACTTGTGTGATCCTCTTTCTTTGGAGTGATCTTGTGAGGTTATTCTCTCGGGGGTATTTGGGATTAATTAGACTATTTACTCTAATTTTGTACGCTCTTTTGTACTCTTGTTGCTGTAGTGATTTTGCTCCTCTCCGCTTATGGACGTAGGTCACACTGACCGAACCATGTTAAATTGTTAACTTCTTTATATGCTTTATTTGTCGTTTTTATCAACTTGCATTGTCATTGTTATTGTCATTATAACATTGTTTGGATAAAGTACACTGTTAGGAAACCAGAATTTCTCCTAACTGTAATCAGTGAATTTGCAATACAGAACAACACTTCAACTATTCTTTATTGCTACCAACAAACAAAATAAGTTCTACAGAGAAACAAACAACAATTAGAACATTAATACACCTAACAACCAAGGTATTTTGAGGAACCTTAACCTCCAAATCTGCTAGAGAAAATACTACAGAAATAAACTGGTCGTCTTCCCTTCTTCCTAATATAATATAACACAAAATAACTGCCTGAACTGCTAGTTAACTGCTAGGTAACTACTACCAATACAGATACATAATAATAAATAAATAAAACAATTACATTTAAGCCTTATTTTCACCTTTCTTTCTGCGGTTATAGACCCTAGTAACAGCAAGTCTAACAATACACGCCCCAACAAGTTTCACCTTGTCCTCAAGGTGAAAATGAGGAAACTGCGCATCAATGACTTCATAGGATTCCCAAGTGTTTTCAAAGTCTGGTAAGTCCTTCCACTTAATTAAAACTTCTTGGGAGCCATTCAAGAGTGTTCGACAATCCACTACACTTTCAGGTTGCACTTGCATTTCAAGTTCTTCAGACAATAAAGGAGGGAGCTGGTGAACTGGAGTAGAATCTTTCACAGCACGCTTTAGCCAAGAAACTTGAAATACGGGATGCACTCGTGAATGAGGGGGTAAATCAAGGCGATAAGCAACTTCACCAATTTTGCTGAAGACAGTATATGGCCCATAGTAAGGGTGTTAAACGGGTGGGCCGGGCCGGGCTGGGTTGGGATTTTTTGGACCCGTACGGGTTGCGGTCCGGGCCGGTTAAGGGTTGGGGCTTAACGGGTTCGGGTTTATCCGGGTAAAAATTGAACCGTAAGGGTTACGGGTTGAGGGGGTCGGGCCGGGCCGGGTTTAGTGTATTTTTTAATTTTTTTTTTGTATTTTGTATAACTATTGTAAGTTATATTAATACAAAGTATTAATATAAAGAATACAAGGAATATGGGAAAAAATTGCACTTATAAATTGCAAGTGCTACATTTATTTCAAAATTCAAACTTACAAATTGAAAGGTTTACATTTAACAACAAGTAAATTAACCAAAAAAGACTAAATTCAAAGGTTTTGCATTGCCTTAGTAAGTTCTTCATAATCAATATGAACTGAGTGACCTTCTTCTGGAGTGTTAAATTCGGATGGGTTACCATGTGTTAATATATCTCCAAGTTCCTCGTCTTCTGGGCTATCAACATCTTCACGTCCTTGATTTCTTCGTTCCGATCTAATCCAATCTCTGAAACATACTAAAACTTCCGAAGCATTGCTTCCCCTACCAGTAACTTTTCTACACGCTCTTTTAGCAGCATTTAACATATTGTAAAAATTAAAGTATAAGCTAAAATTAAATATGCAATTAAAATAGTAAATAAGAGAAAGAGTTGGAGGGAGTGCACCGAATTCGACAATAAATTGAGCACTTGATTAAGCAATTTCGATGTTACCACGAACAAACGTCAAGCAAGTATTTCAATTTTGAAGTTCAATTGTTCAAACTTCAAAATCCGAATGATAAAACACGATAAATTAAATTCAAGAAAAAAGAGCCAAATAAAATTAGAAGATGAATTGAAGACTTGAAGTCTTGAAAATTAGAGAATGAGAGAATGAGAGAAATTGAGATTGAGAAATGAGAGAAATTGAGATTGAGAAATGAGAGTTGAGTGAAGAAATGAAGAAGAGGGGGGGGGGTATTTATAGTTTTAGAGAAGGTTAATTTTGTAAATTGAAAAAAGGTTAAATTTTAAAGAAAATAGAGGCTATTAATGCAATAATTCCGTTGGGCAACGGATCCCTGCCAGGGGTGACCGTTGCAACGGTTAGTGGGCCCCACTTATTTTAAAAAATTAAAATAAAATACAAAAAAAAGTTATAGCCGTTGTACCGGTCCGGTCCGGCCCGGTTAAACAGGTACAGGGTACTGTTCACGTGGACCAGGTTTGACCGGTCCGGTTAAAAAAAAAGTAAACGGACTAACCCCCTCTACCCCTCCTACCCAGCCCACCCGGCCCCCTATGTACCGGGCCGGTCCGGTTTCTGGTTTTAACCGGTCTGGGCCGGTCCGGTTACGGGTCAACCCGGCCCGTTAGACACCCTTAGCCCATAGTAACGAGGACTTAACTTCTGATTAACCTTTTTAGCAAGGGAGCGAAGCTTGAAAGGTTGCATGCGAAGATAAACCAAATCACCAGGCTGAAATACAACTTCACGACGCTTAGCATCAGCATAAAGTTTCATTTGAACTTGAGCATGGGTTAGATTAGCTTTGAGTTCATCCAGAATTGTGTTGCGAGCAACAAGCTGCTGGTTGACCTCTTCGACAGCAGAAATTTCATCAGTGAACTTCAACAAGGAAGGAGGATCTCGTCCATATAACGCTCTAAAGGGAGTCAACTTGGTGGAACCATGGTAAGTGGTATTAAACTAAAATTCAGCCCAAGGAATCCATTTTGGCCACTGTTTTGGATGTGCCCCTGCAAAACATCGCAAATAAGTCTCCAAAGAGCTATTGACAACCTCAGTTTGACCGTCGGTCTGAGGGTGATAACCTGAGCTCAATTTGAGGTTAGTGCCGAACAATTTAAATAATTCCTGCCAAAATTGGCTGATAAAAACCCGATCTCGGTCTGAAACAATAGATTTGGAAAAGCCATGCAGTAGTACAACCTCACGAACAAACAGCTCAGCAATACTCTTTGCTGTATATGGATGAGATGTGGCTATATTTGGTGAAACGGTCCACCACAACTAGTATAGTATCGTACCCCATTACTTTTGGTAATCCACTGATGAAATCCATAGAAATATCATCCCAAACTTTGGTAGGAATAGGCAATGGTTGCATCAAGCCAGCGGGACTAAGGGTTTCATACTTGTTCTGCTTGCAAACTTCACAACTAGCCACAAAGTTTTGTACATCCCTTTTAATTCCATTCCAATACAACACCTGTGAGATACGCTTGTATGTCCGGAAAAAACCTAAATGACCACCTGTAGGTGAAGAGTGAAATTCTTTAAGGAGCATAGGAATGTGTAATGAAGAATGGGAAATCACCAACCGACTTTTGAAAAATAGGCAGCCATTTTTTAGAGCATAATTCGGTTGTGAAGCTGGATCTCGAAGCAAATCTTGTGTCACTTGACGAAGTTGATCATCTTGTTGAATTTCTGTGACAAGATCATCTAAGGTACTGTTGTGTAAAACAGAAAAGGCCATGAAATGAAACTGGCGAGACAAAGCGTCAGCTGCCTTATTCTCACAACCTGGGCGATATTGAATCTCAAAATCAAATCCCATCAACTTGCTGACCCATTTTTGTTGCTCTTCAGCCATGACATGCTGGCCCATGAGAAATTGGAGACTTCTTTGGTCCGTCCGGATAATGAAATGTCGACCCATTAGATAATGATGCCACTTCTGTACAGCTAAAACAATAGCCATTAACTTTCTCTCATATACTGATTTAGATTGTACTCGAATAGAGAGTCCTTGGATGAGAAAAGCAATGGGCCGTCCTTCTTGCATTAAGACAGCTCCAATTCCAAATCCTGAAGCATCAGTCTCAAGCACAAACACCTTGTTAAAATCCGGTAGTGCCAAAACTGGCAAAGTGACCATAGCCTGCTTAAGAGAACCGAAAGCTAATTGAGCTTTGTTATTCCAACTAAAAGCATCTTTCTTGAGCAATTGTGTGAGTGGCCTGGCTATCTTCCCATAGTCACGAACAAACTTCCTGTAGTAACTAGTAAGTCCCAAAAATCCTCTCAAACCTTTAACATCTTTGAGAATTGGCCAATTAACCATACTTGTTATTTTGGAAGGATCTGCTGAAACTCCATCTGCTGAAATAATATGCCCTAACTACTCCAGTTATTGCTGTCCAAAATGACATTTTTTCCGATTGACGACCAAGTTATGAAGTTTTAAAATTTGCAGCACCTCCCGCCAATGATCCAATGAGTAGCAAAATTTGCACTATAAACTAATATGTCATCAAAAAAGACCAATACAAACTTATGTAAGTAAGGACGAAATATATCATTCATCAAGGCTTGAAAAGTAGATGGAGCGTTGGTCAGTCCAAAAGGCATGAGCAAAAACTCATAGTGGCCTTCATGTGTACGAAAAGCTGTCTTCGCTACATCCTCCTTGCAAACCCGGATTTGATGATACCCGGATCTTAGATCCAATTTCGAGAATATAATGGCACCCCCAAGCTCATCTAGTAACTCATCAATTGCTGGAATTGGAAATTTATCTGGAATAGTAATCTTATTAAGGGCCCGATAATCCATGCAGAATCGCCAATTACCATCCTTTTTGCGAACTAGCAATACTGAACTAGAGAAAGGACTTGTACTTGGTTGGATGATACCAGCTACTAGCATTTCCCTTACAATTCACTCAATCTCATTTTTCTGGTAATGGGGGTAACGATATGGACGAATATTGGGTGGATTGGTTCCTGTTTTATGTTGGATAGCATGATCATGGCTCCTACTAGGTGGCAGCCATTTTGGTTCCTCAAATAACATTCCAAATTCTTCAAGTAATTGCTGCAAATCCAAATTCTCTTGTTCTTCCCTTGTTGTTAACTCATTTAGATTAACATAATACCCTTCTGCATCTTTTTGCAAGGCTTTAAACAGATTTTTGAGTGAAGCCACCGATTTGCACAATGAGGGGTCGCCTCGAACAACTCGTATTTGCCCCTCTATTTTAAATTTCAGTGTCAATCTTTTGAAATTGGCTTGGATACCCCCCAAAGTCTCTAGCCACTCGATTCCTAACACTACATCGGCACTGCCCAAATCAAAAAGAAAATAATCCTGTATTACCCGCATTTCATCTATCCACAATTCCACTTCTTTGCAACTTCCCATGCTTTTTACATGATGTCCATTCCCCACTTCTACCAAAAACGGCTTTGTTTATGTTTGTTTTAACCTTAATGCTTCAGCAACTATGCGAGAGATAAAAAATTTTGATGCTCCGCTATCAATCAACATAATAACCTTCTTTCCCAATATTGTTCCCCATCTTTCAAGGACTTTTTTGAGGTAAATCCTGCAATAGAGTGCAAGACAAATGCATTAACTTTTGTGGTTCCGTCTGTCCTAGAACATTTAATTGGTCTATCCCTGCGCTTATTACTTCCTCCATTTGCTCATCTATGTCTCCTTCTTGGTCATCCTCTGCTGCCACAATAAGTAGATTTAACTGTTTAAAATTGCACCGGTGATTAGGGCCATATTTTTCATCGCAGCAAAAACAAAGAACTTTTCTCAATTTATCTTGATATTCTGCATCAAATAGCCTTTTGTATGCTCCTCCACGCCTTGCAGAAGTTTCTGGCGTTGCCGGTACGATTTCTCCTCGCTTTTGTTCGTGAAATTATCGTGGTACTGTTGTAACAGCTGTACGTGCAGAGTTAAAGGGTGTTGTGGCTACACGCACATGAGGACTTGTAGTGCTTCCTTTTTGGTTGTTGTCAGTCACAGGGTAATGGGTTGGACCCCTAGGAAGTGCCATACGCATATGTCTTGGCAAGTGTGCTTGGCTGAGAGCCCAATTCTTCTCTTCAATCACCAGAGAATAAGGGTAATTCTAGCCTTCTAGGACGTGTTTCATCACGAAATTGTGGTTGAACCCCCTCACGTTGTCCATTGCCTCCCTGATTGCCGCTATTTCCTGCCATCATTTCTGCCTCTTTAGTTGGATCTGCGTGATTTGTCGGATTTCCCTTCATATGTCGAAGAATTTCAGCATCATGTTCATCCTTTTTCTGCATCCACTCCCGTAACTGGCCTAGGTAATCCCGTACTGCCCCAATCTCCTCTTGTACTTCATTCATTGTTTTCTCTAACCCTTCAATTCATCCTTCCATTCTGGTTGAAACCATGAAGGCTCTGATACCAAAAAAGTTAGGAAACCAGAATTTCTCCTAACTGTAATCAGTGAATTTGCAATACAGAACAACACTTCAACTATTCTTTATTGCTACCAACAAACAGAATAAGTTCTACAGAGAAACAAACAATAATTAGAACATTAATACACCTAACAACCAAGGTATTTTGAGGAACCTTAACCTCCAAATTTGCCAGAGAAAATACTACAGAAATAAACTGGTTGTCTTCCCTTCTTCCTAATATAATATAACACAAAATAACTGCTTGAACTGCTAGGTAACTACTACCAATACAGATACATAATAATAAATAAATAAAACAATTACATTTAAGCCTTATTTTCACCCTTCTTTCTGCGGGTATAGACCCTAGTAACAGCAGGTTTAACATACGCACTACCCGTGTTCCGATCCTAACAACAAACATAATAAGTAACTTGAAAAATAGAATAATATCCTACTCTAGCCAATTGAAATTGCACTAATCCGTAAAATTTCTTTACATTGTTAGTGTATATAATTTAAATCCCAGGGAATTTATACTTTTGCTTAACATACAGTAGTTTCACATTGCATTACATGAAGAATAGGAGTAGTATTCAAGGCCTTAGCAGTCATTACATTTTCAAGACTTTCGAAATCTTATACTCTCTAAAACTAATCACTGTGAAATACATGTAGACATTTAAGGAAAAAATTGATGTACATGTAAAAATTAACTTGTCTGCTTATAATTTTTCGACAGGTAAACCTGCAACCGGTTTCAAATCTACTGCCAAAGACCGAAGTTCGTCAACTTCGTCTTGAGTGAGTCTCCAACCCAATGCACCAGCAAATTCTTTAGCTTGATCTGCATTTTTGGCTCCTGGGATGGGAACAACATTCTCTTGTGCAATCAACCAATTCAGGACCACCTGTGGAAGGTAACAAGACAAGAGCAAATGAGTGCAAAAGCATTTTCCATTTTCTCTGTATTTTACATGGTAACAGAGCCAGGTCCGTTCCCGTTTGGGCCCCTATGATATTTTCTCCACGCTACAGTTGGTGATCTGGGCGTGCGAGGGGGTGTTAGAGTAGGTTAGAGTCCCACATGGTTAGGGAATGGGCTGGTAGTCTCCTTATATGGACTTGGCCAATCTTTCCCCCACGAGCTAACTTTTGGGGTTGAGTTAGGCCCAAGTGACATATCTTTACACAATGAAAATCATTATTTCCCTTCGCCTTTTCTCCTTAAGACTTTCCAAGAATTGCCCAAGTAACGACTATCATATTCCTAAAGTCATCCAAGAACCACCTAAAATACGAGTTTAAGGTCTATTATGCACTGATGACATATAAAATATTTATACGATCAGGTCACTTATTAAGCAGTTATAGGTAAATTTCTTGATAAGCAATAATTTGTAATCTAATAAATATAATAACTATCACAAGTTAAAATTCACTGAAGTATTAAAACATTTGTACACCATTAGGGTATTTAACTTAAATCCCTAATATATTGAATGTTGACTCAAAGGTGAACTTGGAATTTCCTCATGATTTTATAAATCTTGACTCAACGGACCATCGAAAAATAAAAAAATCTCGTTTTGATTAAGGATCACATACTAAGCTAGTAGGCTTCCTTTTTTGATAACTGAAAAATTCTGCTAAAAAGCTACTTTTTTAAAGCCAATCCAAACGGGCTCTAAATCATGAAATTTTCTAGAAATAGGGAAGACATACCTGTGTTGGAGTCTTACTGTAGCTTTCTCCTATCTCCTTTATTCTATTTATGAGTGGCTGCAACTGCAGTGCACAAATGTTCTTGAGACGTAAGAAGTGAAATTCTTAATAATCTGTAGTCATATACTATAGAGGCCTTACTTTGGTTAGAAATTCAGGAGTATAAATCTGTCCTCGAGGGCCAGTGGGTGGATTTTCTGGAGTATATTTCCCAGTCAAAGTCCCTGCATGAGTTTACAAATGTAAATCTGAGCCAAATAATTCCATGCAGAGTTGACGAAGATTTTCTTACTTCTAGCTTGAAACAGTGGCTAAATTTCACAAATGGTCGTATAACTATGACTTTTTTCATCGAAGTTATATAACTATGTTTTCTAACACAAAAATCATAACGCTTTCACCTACTCACACAAAAGTCACAATTGCCGGAAAACCTAACTTTCCGATGCAATTTTTTTACTCCACATTTTCCACTTTTTATTTTCAAATCTAATAAATTTTAACGTAATTAAGAGAGGACCGACCCGACCCCACCTAAATTTCAGGGTGCAACAGTAAGTTCTTTGAAGCTAACAGCATAATGTACTTGTAACACTATATATATGTGTGATGGCATAAAATAATTTCTATACCGGTGTGACAAAGGTGCAGGAAACCAGCTTACAAATTTATGTACATAAACAGCTTAAAGACTCTTCCGCTACTGCATTTCTTTTTAAAACTGCTATTAATGTACTTTGCTTGAGCCGAGAGTTTATCGGAAACAACCTCTCTACCGTTGCAAGATAGGGATAAGGCTGCGTACACACTACCCTCCCCAGACTCCACTTGTGGGATTACACCGAGTCTATTGTTGTTGTTGTTGTTGTGGTAAACAGCTTAAAGCCTCAGTAACTATTTATTTCATGTCTGAGGTCATTAATCAGGGCCATTGTACGTCTTCACAAGAAAACAGTTGCATACTAACAAAAATAGGCAACTTAACTGCATAATCAGGGTTTACCTTGAACTTATCACAAAAGAGAAAAAAGGATCAGGTTTTACCTTGAGCAATGGGTGAATATGCGATCAACGTGACTCCTAGTTCATCACAGGCAGCCTTTACACCATTTTCCTCTGGAAACCTATATATAAGGCTATAATTGACTTGATTTGAAGCTAGCGGAATACCTCTCCTCTTCAGCTGCTCGTATGCAGCGCGAAGACGCTTTTCTGAAACAAGAACTACTTCAATCGGCCAAATATCCAAAATGCTACCGAGTTGAGAGTGAAGTAAAAAAATCATCAATAACTGTCATAATACTTGAGTGACTAGAAATAATAGGTTTACCACTATAGTTAGATACTCCCACAGCTTTTACAAGGCCCTGCTCCACTGCATCTCCTAAACCATCAATATAACCTGAAAAGGATATTCTCATAGACTAAGCTTTTTCCATTTTATATGTTAAAGAAAAGTAACTGATTTGATGAATGGAACAAGGTAATCATTCAAGACAAACCTTCATTTCCCCATATTCCTGGCCTGAAAATTAGACCAAAAAAAGCTTTTGTCAACCATTGACTGTTTAATAGAATTGAGAAAAATAACCAAAGGAGAGGGCTCAAGAAGCCTACCAGTGAAGTTGATAAAGATCAACCGAAGAAAGTTCGAGACGTGCAAGAGAATCCTTGAGGGCCGCTAGGACACTTTGACGGCCTAGCCTCCACGGCAATGCAGCAAATTTAGTCGCAACAGCAACGTCGACTTCTGGATTACTTTCTTTTCTTTCCTTGATGAATCTAATATAACAGCAAAAACGTTAACTGTTAAAACAACAAACATGAAGAACATGCAACTTGATATTCTTTTGGCCACAAGTGAAAATAATGAACATTTAGGAGAACTTAGAGCTCACCTTCCTAGCAGTGTTTCAGAATTTATCGCACCGAATGAGAACTGCAAGTAGAGGAAATAGTGATTTTCTCGTGATTGTACAACTTTTCTGTACAACTTAGCAGACTAAGAGAATTGACAAATAAAAACCATTACTCACCCTTGAACCATAGACCTCAGCAGTATCGATAAATGTTATTCCACTATCAACGCTGGCGTCAAAAGCAGTCTTTGCAGCCTTCAGCTTCCTATCTGTGATCAGTGCAGTATAAGAAAAGAAACATGTTAGATAAATCTCTTCCAAGCCACTTTGCATCATAAACATGGGATTCTCTTGGTTTCACCAAACAAATGATAGCCTCAGGTTATGTTATTAACAAAATCACATTCAGCTGAGGGAACCGACGACTCAGGCATAACATTGGCAGGGGCGGAGCTACTGTTTCGGTAACGTGTTCGGCCAAACCTAGTAGTTTCGGTCTAAACCCTATATCGTCTTAAGAGATCCATTATTGATTTAAAACCCAGTGACTTAAAAGACCTAGAATCCCGAATCACACTTCAGTTTAAGATTGTACTTAGTGTATGACAATTGTGCGGTGGTGAATGTCACACAATATGGGATTAAGCCTCAATCCAATTGCAGCACCACGGAAAGATTTCGAAGTGCCTATGCACTATTAAGAAAATTGATGTGTGCTAATTACATCATTTTGTGTGCAGATGAGGACTATTAATATGATAGATATTAATTGGATATAATAACAAGTGTACGAGGTGTATTTGAAGTGATATAGGGCCTAAGGAGAGCCCTTGGGACAAGTCAAGTTGGAAATTTCATGATAGACTAAGTTCCAAATGAGTACGTGCAAGACCTAACTTTGGACGAGCATATCTAGATATATATAAAGAGTTATGTGGTGGAAACACTATCAAATGAAAGATCTTCGAGTCTAGTTCTAACGCTTCAAACCGTTCGTCATTTGGACATTCCTACAAGAAGTTATCATCAAATTACCAAAGGCTGGTAGTAGAGTACTGCCACATGGTCTGGGTCCGCATCTTAGCTTGGAGGAGGAGTGAATTGGGACGCGAAAGCGTCCGGGGCAGTATCCGAAACCCAGAAATTTGGGCCTATAAGTACAAAGTCGGGGAGAGAGAGTATTTTGAGCTTTTGGGGTTAGCGTTCTTGAGGTCAAGAGGCGTTTTTAAGCTCAAATCAAGTCCAACCAACTAAGGTAAGTTGTTAATGATATTTTGGGTTGATTCTTACTCAATATACATGATTTCTAATATCATTCTTGGATTCAAATACTAGATTTCATCATCAAATCCTCAAGAACACAAAAAACATCAAAGTTGTGGTTTTTCAAGATTGATCTACTAGATGTAATTCTAATGCTTCAAACTCGTTTATTATGAGTAGTTAGAAGTATTTAAAGCATTTATTACAAGTTTTAATGGTTGAAAGATTGGATTATAAAACTCTAGTTCATGGCATGAATAGTACTTTTGAGAAAATGAGAGAGAAGATGAATAGTAATCTTGGCGATGAAATTGATGAATACAATGAACCTTTGGAATTATTTGTTAGCAAAAGTTGGAAGTAATCAACTAAGTAATCACCCGAATTATATATTTTGCAAGTGTTTATTATGGAAGACGATGAATAGTAGCTTGGAGGCATTGGACAATTGATGTAGTATCATTAATGACTCCGAATGGGTATTAAAATATAAGAATGAAGTTGAATGGGCTAGCATGTGAAGCTATTCGGCGATTTGAGTTGTTTGAGGCTTGTGGTCAACTTATGAGCCTTAAATGAATATTGGTCAATATTTTAGGTCATATTTTGATGTAGTTAGGATATCTAATTGTAGATATCGATTTGTTGGTGATGTTTGAGCATTTTAATCAACATTGGAATGATGGAAGAGAATTGAAAGCTTGTGAATGTTAATAAAGCGAAAGCAAGGTAAGTTGATTAAAACTTACTCTTTTCTGAGGGATTTCTCTAAAAGCATGTTTCGAGTTAATGCTTAAGTTGTTTGCAAATGTGCTTCGTGCTTTTCTGAGTTAGTGTCATGTCGTTTTATAAAAATTTATTTTAAATCTTGTTGACAAAATGACACTTAAGGTAAATGTTACAAGTTTTTGTCAAAACTTACGTACTGATAAGAGTATATATATTTGAGTACTAAATATAAGTTTTGATGGAAAGTATTCCTGTTGAAAATTGATAATAGAATAGCACTTGTGGTATCTTTTAAAGATTGATATTAAATTGCTAAAGGCTTTAACATGTAAAAGATAGTTTATTTAAATTTTGTTCAAATGGTTTAGATTTTCTATTAATGTTATGGCTTGATTAAAAAAATAGATCCTTTGAGGCTACTATGCTATGAATCTATTTTTGAAATATCAAATGTTTTGGGCGTTACTTGTGTTTACCGAGATTGACTTCGGATGTATTGTGTTCGTCGTCATGAAGCTACATGTGCCGATGTAGGCGTAGATGGCCACTTTGTGGTATAGACTACGGTAGAGTGCTCTCCCGTGAGAGGGTACTATTTTGTGCTATTATTAGCATGGCTGGGTCAATTCGTCCGGCACTACTATGAGACGACCTGAGCAAGTAGGGTATATGATACTTGCCGCTAGGTACATAACCTAGTTGACCTTCTTGTGTCAGTGATGGTATAGTACTCCAGTGAAAGGTAAGGATGATTTTCTTATGTTTAGGCCTAAGGAGCCGAAAGTGATCTCAGTGACTTAAAGCAAATGGAATGATTTTGTATGATTTTATTCAAAATCTTGGATTGACATAAATGTTTTAAAAGTTCATATTGTGGGTTATATTTCACTTGTCTTTTATTTAAAATGATAAGGATCATGAATTGATAAAATTTCTTATCTTTTTATATCAAATATTGGCACATTATTTTTATAAAGTTTGTCCCAAGAACTTAAGTTAGCGAGAGTCTATGACACTTATTGAGTACCGTTGTGGTGTATTCAGCCCTTAGGGGCCCCCCTCCAGGGCTCCGGTTACTTTACATGTTTCAGAATGATATGTGATACGTGGCATGCGGTCAGGGTTAGGATGACTCTCTTCCTGAGGTTTTGGTGAGGCACCACTCCTATTTCGTGGTAGCTATCATGTTGTTTTCTTAATTTATGCTAGTCAGGTATTAGCCCAAGTGTTTGATCCTATTCTTTGGTATAAAGGCTCCATAGATAGTTGTGAAAAGTTGTAGTAATGGGGTTGTACACGACATACATAAAAATATATTTATTTTACTTAGTCTCATTGTTATTATCATTTCGAATTGGAAAATATTTTATCATTTAATTTGAAAATGTATATGATTTTCAACGAGCATCCCAGGTTGAATTGGTTTTCATGCATATGATTTGGGTGCATCATATGGTTTGGTTCGCTCGGGTCGGGTAGTGTGCCGGATGTCGGTCACGTGGTTTTGGGTGGTGACACCAATTTCCTTCTTTCCTTTGTAACAAAGTCACAAATCACAATCAAATTGGGGAGTCCATTACTCAAATGGTCACTCAACTATCCCAAATTATCGGCTAAAGTCACTTTTCTTTCATTTGTAACAACAAAGTCACTTAACTATGCCTATAGCACTCAGAAGGTCACTCAACTAGATTTTTCAAATTTTGGATTGCCAAATACCTATTTTACCCTCTTAATTATGAACATTTATCTTCGTTTTAGTTTTTTAAAATTTTTAATATTATGATTTTTCCATTTGTAATTTATATTATGGACTTACCTATAGAATAAATAAATTTTATTTATAAATTAAAAAATAAAAAGTATTTAAGCATATATAATGCTAGAATAACAAAATAATGAGCATAGTAAAACAAATTAATTAGAATAATTTGTTCGTAATAATAATTTTAGTATTAACAACAAAAATTCAAAAATTTATTTACACAATTCAGAATGAAAGAAAATAAAGGATGGAAAATATATATTTCATGCACGTAATATAAAAATAGTTATTTAAATAAAGGTATTTTTATATATACATTATATATTCTTGAAAATTATGCTCAGTTATATTATTATTCCGTCATTATATGAGTTGAAAATTTTATTTTTTATTTTATAAATAAAATATATTTATCTATAAGTAAGTCCAAAATGTAGATTAAAAAGAGAAAAAAAAATATTTAAGAAGTTAAAAAAATTGATAATTTAGAGGGTAAAATAGGTATTTCACAATCAAAAATTTGGAAAATCTAGTTGAGTGACCTTCTAAGTGCTATAGGTATAGTTAAGTGACTTTGTTGTTACAAACGAAAGAAAAATGACTTTACCAGATAATTTGGGATAGTTGAGTGACCATTTGAGTAATGAACTCTCAAATTGGGGGATTCGCTTCGAGCTACGTTCAATACCAGCAAACAAGACCATCTTACCAAGATTATCCAGCTTTCTATATACGTATTTCTTAAAATTTCCTGAATAAATATCCAGTAAATCCCTGACTGGTGACTTCTAAAAATTTAATACTATACTAAACAAACACAATACTAAGATAGTAATGGAGAAGAGGGGCATTATATAAATAAAAGTGTGCTCTTTCTAATTACTTAAAACTTTTAGATCAAATGATCATACAGTCCAATATGTTCTCAGAGCAGACAAAAGTCTTACATTCAAGTCTCACCACCACCTATTATAAAAATTAAATTTTCACGTGTTTGGCTAATGAAAAAAATGAAGCCCCACGTGAGGAGCGTGTTGAAAAGACAATTAAACAAATAAAAGTGTGTTTTTTCGAATGAAACTTTTAGATGAGATGGAAAACGAGTAGAAAATACTTTTCCAGAATAACCAAGCTTAGTACAGAATCAAATTCATCGACGAATGTAATCAAGATTTAGGAAACCAATAAGCAAAATGAATTACCCCAAGAAAATGCAAATAAAGAGAAAAGCATAATTGCCAAAATTTCAAAAACTTTCTCAATTCTATGAAAGTCACTAACAACAACAACAATAAACTCAGTGTAATCTCATAAGTGGGGTTTGAGAAGGATTGTGTAGAAGACCCTCGACTCAAAGGAAGATGAAAAAAGAAGCAATAACAACAAACAGTAACACCAGCAATACAATAAGAAAATCGAAACGAAAGAAATAATAAATAGTAATATCTAGGAATACTATGAAACTCACCGACAACAACAACAATAAACCTAGTGTAATCTCACAAGTGGGGTCTAGGTAGGGTAGTGTGAAACACCCTCGACTCAAAGAAAAATGAAAAAAGAAGCAGTAGCAACACGCAGTAACACCAGCAATCAAATAAGAAAATCGAAGCGAAAGAAACAACAAGCAGTAATAAAAATGGAAGAATTCTATGAAACTCACCATCCCACTCAAAGTTATTCCAATAGCTAGTATCACCCCAAGACCAAGCTCCAATACCAAGCTTTGTAACCTTCAAATCAGACCCACCAAGTTTCACCTTATCTTCTTCTGCTTTCACTATAACACTACTCTCAGAAGCTACAGCTCTAATTGTTTTCACCCTCCTTTGGCTCAAAGAACACAGACACGCACTGCTAAAATGCAAAGCCATTTGCGTTATTGAATTTTCAAGAATTCAAAAGACTCTTCTTTTTGCAGGGAAGAATGGTTCTCTTTTTCTACTTTTCAAGAATTCGTTAGAAACATGATGACAAACTTCCTATGGTTTTGTTTTGTTTTCACAAAAAGCACGACAATAATTCATTTGGAGGTTTTAGTTACTACATGTATGTTTTTCCCTCGTATGGTTATGTCCTAATTAGTTGGCTCCCCATTTCTTCCCACCACACGAAGTTACTTGCAAGTCCAATACTTTTCCCAAAAAGTTATAGCACAAATTTATAATAAAAAATCCAATTAGAGATAAAAATGGAAGAGAAGAAGAAAAAAAGAAAAGGTAAAATTGGAAGGGTGAATTAAATTTTAAGCCACAGATGGACACGTGGCAATATGATGCTAAACAATCAAATTAGAGTCTAATTAATCTCTAATTATTTTCGGTTAGTGAATAAGAATAAATACAAGCAAGTTTAGACCGTTTGGTAATATCAGTGACTGACATGAATAGGTAATTAAAAAATAAATTAACGCAAAGTATTGATGAACCTTCACATAATTAGGATCAAATATAGCCTGCTTTTCTTTACATAAAGTTAACATAGTAGAATGAGATAATAAATAGGAATTTTTACCTCCTATAGCAAAGGTTAATATCTTATTTATTTTAAATAAATACCATTTTAAAAAATTATATTCTATAGCTATCTTTTGATTTTTATAGCTAATATCTATTTATGGTCACCTCCTACCCTTAAGCCATAAAATACGATGCCCTCTCTCTCATAAAATACGCTGCCCTCTCTTTCTCAACCGCCTCTCTCTCAACGCCAGTTTTCTCCATGAATACAAACTCATGGATTCTCTCTCATCAGTTCCTCCGTCGATCGTTCTTCTCAGTAGTCAACATGAATTCTTTTGCATCTACTTTCTTCAAGGATTTTGGAGAATCAATGATAAAGATGGGCAAAATTGGAGTCCTTACTGGAGAAGTCAAGGAAAGAACATTTGAGGAGCACATATTCTGTCACCATTTGTATCAATCAAGCAGAAAGCTTTTCTTGAAATGGGGAAAATATGGATTGAAGTCTACCTGATTTCCGCCACTCTACGACCTTTCTTTGCCTCCCACCAACAATCTGATTCGTGCCTTCAAGGAACATACACGTGAGGTGCGATATTAGGGTTGTTCTTGAACAAGACGACGGAGTTTGGGGCTGAGCAACTTGAAGATTCTGTTACCTTTTTTTTAAAATGTATTTCAATGTATCTCGCTATATTTCCATGTATTTCATTGTATTCATTATCTTTTTTTCATTGTATTTCAGTGTATCTCACTGTATTCCATGTATTTCATTGTATTCAATGTCTCGCAATATTCCATGAATGTATTCATATGTTTTTTTTAATTAATATAATTATGTATTTAGATGTATATATGTATTCAAATGTATCTGCAGTATGTATTCATATGTTTTTGCACTATAGATGGTCTGCTATACTTTACGTATTCAATGTATTTTTATGTATTTAACTATATTTAGTGTAATTATATAATTTCTCTGAGGAATGCTATATTTTTGGAGTGTTTTTCGGTTGAGAATCTTTTTTATAACTGAAATATAAATTTTTCGTGTTATAATTGAGTTTGTTGAGTTATATTAGGAGTCTATTATGTTAATTGATTCACTTTCCTTTTAAAAATAGCTGAATAGACCATGAATTGCGCCGTGAATACAGTCGAATACAATAATCTGTCTAGCTGTAATTCCCTGTTTCACGCCATGAATACAGTCGAATACAATAATCTGTCTAGCTGTAATCCCCTTTTCACGCCGAAAAATGCTACTGTATTCATGAATACAATAGCTTAAATACATCAAATACACTCTAAAAAACCTGAAAAAATAGCTATAGGAAGTAATATAGTAAATGGTAGCTACAACTAGCTAATTACCACGAAAACATAGTGGTTTCTGAAAGTTTCTCTATAAATATAGGGATTGTTTTCATATATATACAAAATTAGGATAATATTTACCTAAAGATCCACAATTGATGATGGATCAGAAGATTCTTAACACTCGTGAATATATCCAACCTAAAATCAATGGCTGGTCTTATAGCAAATCCAGATAGAGCCCAAGCCCACTTTGCCAAAATGATATTTGCATCTAATTTTTGTTTAGTTTGTTAACCGTAGCTAGTTGTGGTTACTATGTTAAATTAAGTAATGTTAGATTTCAGGGTAATTGTATTATAGTTATGTTGTGGCAAATAAACAGGTTATTGTAATGTATAATTAATACGATGTGTAATTATTATCCTAATAATTAAACTATTTTAGGTAATTACACATGACTTTTCGTTAGTTTGCCAAGTTGCATTCTTCGTAAAACTCATGCATTCAATACAAAAACGAATTTACATATACACTTTCTCTTTCTTTCTCGTATTAATTTCTTTCAAGGACTCTCTCAAACAATCATTCTCTGAGCTTTAAAAAACAACAAATGTATAAAAGAACTTGGTAAAGAATTTACATAGAATTTTTTTTGGTCAAAATTAAACATTTTGTTTCAACCAAATATAATTATATATATCCATTAGTTACATTTGACTCTATAACTAGTCCTCCATATTCTCACTACCTATTTGTGAAGGTATAAGTTTCTCTTTTTAGTATATTAACTACATCTAAACAGTGTAACTGTTCAACGATTCTAAGACTCTCTTCGATTTGTTGAAGTGTTGCCCTCTTGTGTGCAACTGTATGGCTATGTCTTCTAGTCTCTATTGACTTTCTTTCTTTTCAGCCTGAAATCTCCTTGCATTTCTTTCATTCCATACATGGTAGACAGTAGCAGCACATAGGAACTTCATGATCTCTGCTTGTGGCCTGCTGCTCCTCATCTTTCTGCTTATCCAATCAATCTCCTCCTCCCAGTTGCTAATTCTCCTATTCTCCCCTAGCCACCTGAGTAATGCACTCCAAATTTGGGATGAGTAGGGGCACTAGAAGAACAGATGCTACAAGTTTTCCTCAGCTCCAGTGGTATACAAAACACAATCAGTTTGGACATGTATGACCCATTTCTACAAGCGATCAATAGTAGCCAATCGACCCAGTAGTGCCAGCCAAAGGATGAACTTATGTTTTGGTATAGTAGTTGGTCCCAGCACTAGCCCTTTCCATTGAACTTTCTGAAACTGTGGAAGAAAGAGGAAGTAAGCTTTGTTAATGCTAAACTTATCTTTATCACAGCAACTCTGTAATGTCACATTGTGGTCCATGTTCAGGAACTATTTCTTTGTATCCAATATTTTTCTTACTAGCCAGCAAGCCTGTGTAGGTGTATTTAGTTGCTGCAATTCTTTCTCTTTGATATAGAAGGTATGAATCCATTTTATTCAGAGTGCATCTTTCTTGGTTGTTACAGCCCATAGTAATTTACTGATAGTTTCTCTACTCCATGTATGAAACTCTATGAAGTTCAGACCACCTACTGAATGTGGTTTACATAATGTCTCACATGCAACCGAGGTTTTCCTTGAGCTCTCATGACTGCCTGTCCATAGGAAGATTCTGCAAACTCCAGTTATGAGTTGAATAACCTTATTAGGAACTAGAAACACCTAAGTCCAATAGGTTTGCATCTCAAATAGCACACTTTTAATAAGTTGCACCATTCCACTATATGATAGAAATTTGGTGGACCAGCATCTTATTCTTGCAACCATTTTCTCAACCAGTGGTAGGCATTGTTGAACTGTGATCGTCTTTGAGGAAAGAGGAACTCCCAAGTACTTGAATGGGATCTCTCCCTCTGATAATTCTATTTAATTTAATAGTTGTTCCTTAAGCTGTTGACTGATCCCTGCCACATACAGTGAACTCTTTTCCAAATTTGCCTTGAGACCAGATACTGCAGAGAAGTGGTGGAACTACTGAAGCATCAACTTTACAGAAAATGGATCAGCTCTGCAACACATAATTAAATCATCAGCAAAGCATATATGGAATATCTCCAACTTGCTGCATCTTGGGTGATAGTTGAAGTCTGGATTGTGTCTCAGCTGTTTGAGGGATCTATTCAATTACTCTATCATAAGAACAAACAAGTATAGAGACATTGGGTCTCCCTTCCTTAGACCTCTCTTAGCTTGAAATCTGGGTGTAAGGCCACCACTGAATAGCAAAGAATATCTCACTATATTGACACACTCCATAATTAGGCTTACAAACTTCCCAAGCATCCCATATTCTAGTGGACCATTCTGAGGAAGCCCCACTCAACGGAATCATAGGCTTTTCTAATGTCTATCTTTATTAGGAATCCAGGAGACACTCCTTTTTGTGTGTAACACTTAACCATTTCATGCGCCACAATCACATTATCTAGAATATTTCTCCCCTCAATGAATACTGATTGTGAAAGCCCACCAAGTAGTCAACTACTCATTTCAACCTAGCAGTAATGACTTTATCTATCAGTTTGTATAGTGTAGTGCAGCAGGCTATGGATCTGAATTCCTTCACAAAGGTGGGGTTTTGTACTTTCGGAACTAAAGTCACAGTAGTGCAATTTACTTCCTTACGTAGTTTACCAGTTTGAAAGAACTGCATTGTAGCCTTTGTTTCCTCCTTCCCTATCAAATGCCAGTACTGTTTGAAGAATTCAGCTGGGAATCCATAAATGCCAGGAGCTTTATCAGCTGGGAGGTCTTTCAAATCATGAAGCGCTTTTATTTCTGTTACTTCGTATATAAGGTCCGGTTGTTGTTCATTAGTGAGACAAGGTCCATCTCTTGCTATGGTTGGGTCTAGGCAAGGCATTTCTGCGGCAACTGTTCCTAGTAAGTTCTGAAACAAACCTATAAATTCTTTTTGGATTAGGGTAGGTTCATGCAGTTGTATTCCATGTTCTGTGCAAATAGAGGAGATTTTATTTCTAGCTTGTCTAGATTTCAGTGCTGCATGAAAGAATTTTGTGTTCGAGTCTCCATAAGCTAGCCATGTTTCTCTAGATTTCTGTTGAAGAACTTTCTCATGTATAGTTGTCCATTTTTCCAGTTGTACCAAAGTATCTTTTTCAGTTGTAATGAGTTGTTCGT